CTATGCTGGTGATAGCCACAGACGGGTCCTGACGTCCGTAGGTTTGATTTCCACCCGGTGAACTTCTCGTAATCTGCTTGGCTCTCCAGTCAGTCCATGGCTCGTGGTCTTCTAACCACACATACCCTAGTAAGAGATCAAACTGATCATCTATGCCGATGACAGAGAGCATCGACTTGGAGGCAAAGTCCGAAAATTTGATGTAAATCAACTTCAAAATCTTCTGTTGCGATACAATCGCACCCATCGCAAGACGGACAATAATAAAAAAAATATTACCATTATTCTTCGCACATTCTGCATCGAAGAGGAGCGAATTCTCCGCAATACTCCTCTACTGATCGTAATGAGCCGACACTCCAGAGAAATAAGGGCTCTGAGGGTCGCCCAAACCCCATAATCGTTGCCAGAACAACGAGAAGGCCTCCCTTCCTCTCCACCTTCGTGGAAAGTCGAAACTTCCCTGCGACAACGGCTTCCTCTACACAATATTGATGCAGGAGTTCTACCCAGTAGGCCGACTGGGCCTGCGCGTTTCCGGACGACGTGGTAAGACAGATAGCAACATCGACGTTGTTGAAAGATGAGCCTCCTCGACCGCTGCGGAAATTGGCCAAACAGCAATCTCGTCGACTGGCGCCCCCGCCATCTGCCTCGACTACGAGTTGAGTACTCTGGAAATAAACCAGTGGGATTGAACTCACAAATATTTGTTGCGCAGTCCCGATCGGTGTGTCCAGTTCGGCCACAACCATAATAGATTACGTGTGGGTGATCAATCGCAGACAGGTCCATGGGTTTATGACCACCACTTGACGGCGGTTGCACGTCGGTGGGGCCAGTCGGTAATCCACGCGATTGTCGCTGAAGCTGAATTTTCTGGAGGGCAACGAAAATTGCATCTTCAAGGCTGGTCGGTTGTCGGCGAAAGAATTCAGTCTTTGGAGGATCGATCTGAAGTCCCTCCATACGAGAGTAACTTTCGAATCCGGATTGTCGACCAGCGACACTCGCAATTTGCGAAGTTCTTGTACGAAGTATAAGATCGAGCATTTGTCCCAGCAGCACTTCAAAAGCATCGCACGATATTTATGCGACGCGTTCGGTGGAAGAAAAACTCCATGGTTAATAAACCACGTGAAAGCCCATTCATGGGCAACACCTCGCATATGCGAAAATTCAATCGCGACCTCCTGCTGTTCCTTGTGAACCAGCGTTTCCGCCAATGCCGTATCTACTTGGCGGAATCAAAAGTGGAGGTTTTCCCTCTGCTTCGGACGAAAGTCTTAAATGCAATCTTCAGCGCTTTGGGGCGACTACGCTTCGTGGAGATGGTAGTATCATCACTTGACGGACCGACAGGGCAACACAATAAATGATGTGTTCCATGATGGTCGGCTCAAACGTAAGGAAACTAGTGGCCTTTGTCAAGACTTGTTGAAAAAGATCGACTTCATAATCCATGAAGGAGCGGACGTGCTCCTTGACCATATCTTAGTCGTGATGTAACAATTGGATGGTGGATTCACCACCAAGGACTCGATAAATCTCGCTGACGACGGCCCGTTCCGCATTGGACAGATTCGGATAGTTGCAGTGGTCCAACGGTTACTATTTTTCGACGGGGTGTTTCGCCAACATCACGTACCGGCAATTGATGTATTTGAATGAGATCGGGGCAAAAAAGCTGAATAATACTCGCCAGAACCTTACAGCGAAAAAGGGTAAGCATTTCTAAAGGTACTTGGTCTCAGATTAGATTTGTCAACCGACTTTTGTGACGCAACTATTCAAGTGACATATGTTTGATATATTTGTCCATAGCTGTACAGATGACACAACTCGTGTGACGGGGTTGCACGTACCCTGGTATGAAGGGGTGGGTCACACAAGATGGCGTGACCAAACAAGTGTGTGGGTTACACAAGACGGTGTAACCACACAACGGTGTGGCTACACCTTATCAAGAAGTCAGTGCGTGGCTGGACTGCCAGTAGTCACGCAGTTAATTAGGTGTTACAAATTCATTAAGAAAACCTACAGATTTGGATATAAGCGGCTTTGCAGCACAACAAACTAAAAGATTTATCTACATTTTGAACGGAAGAGTTTATTTGCCTTGTGTTAAAGTTATGGCTACTCTTGGAGTAAGCGGATTGCAATCCGCTATACTCGTTTTAAGTATGGAACGAAGGTCACCGACCTTAGCTTAGCTTTTTCTAACCGAAACAGCTACGGCAGCCCCGCTGCAACCCGGATGTACCAGATTAATTACAAACAAACCGTTTAGTGACTGTGCCCCCAAATTAAATACCCGCCAATTTTGAATAGTGTGGCTTTGCGCCGGCAAGGCGGTTGGGCTGTGAAGTCAGTCTGGTAGCTGGAATCGAACATCTTCAATGTCAGTGGTGGATTGACCACATAGTGCTTCTAGCTGTGACGGGATAGCTGTTTACACGCACTTTTGCGCTGAGGTTGCTTTACCTTGAGGCTTGGTCTTTTTGCGTAGCTGTCGTACGCAGCCCCTTCCCACACCCTTGTATGGCTCCTTGATCAAATGAAGACCATATATTATAGATAGTTTTATCCTTATCCAAATATAACCTAAAATAGGCCAAATTGTAACCACCGACTAATTAGAGTAGTGCACATTAAGTTAATCTGTAACTAAGTTTGTACCACACAACTTGTGTAATGGGCCTGCAACCCCACTACAAATACCACCTCTTCTTGCCGCATCTAGCACCGTTTGACATCTTTTTTTAAGTGATTGATAAGGGCTGTGCCACGTCGGCGTTATTTCATACTGTACTTGTGAGAGTAGTTGGTCTGTCCAAGCCTTCAAATATAATACTGATGATGTTTTGAGCAGAGATACTGACCACTCTACAATGCTCTTTGTCTTTGCAAGATATGCAAACAGTCCCTGCATCCTAATGAAGCAGATCCCGATAAATTCCATGATGACAAAGACCTACTTGTCTATATTGACGAATATCGTAATCAAGCACAAACGGGCTCATTCGCTCCGAAATTTTGAGATTAATGTTTTGGTACTTGTGAATAGTCACAATTGCACTTAGTGTAGCTGTCAATTTTGTATAAAACCCACCATATTGTATTGAATACAGTCTTGCTAAATGTGTTAGGGTAAAGAACCCATCACATTAACAAAACTACTCTTACCCGTTAAGATGTGGACCACACAGGTGCTCATTTTATGCAGTGGTGATAAAAAACTCACATTTATTTTAAAATATTTTGGGTTATTTGTTTTCAAAATCCATGAAGCCCAAAAATCGTTTGGATTTTAGTCAAGGGTCAGAAACGCAAATTCAAGTGTATACTCACAGTTTCCGATGACATCATCACTCATCACCGACAGCTTCTACGCCACCAATTCAACAATCCTGATATCCTTCTTCATCGAACAACTACAATCAGAAGCTTGCAGCAGCCCGCAGACCTAAGAAGCGTTGGTCTCAAGGAAAACGATCTGTTAACACTTTTGTCCTCAATGATTTTTGCAGCTTCGAATGAGTAAATCCAGCAGTTGAGAAGATTCTTTCAGACTCGACATTTGACGTAACCAGAATTAAAACCCTCAGAGCAATATTCCGAAGTAAAGGGTATCAAATTCCATCGATCAGCCAGTATTGAAGAACATTCTTCGATTCATTTAACGAATTTTAACCGAAGTCGCTTTCCTCACGGTCATTATATGCGATAACCTGGAAATGAACGTATTCAGTATGCATTGCTTCACGTGCTTCATTTACAACTAAATCAAACAGAGAGTCTTCGAACCCTTTCTTCTTTTTTTTTTGTAGCGCGAATCTAGGAGATATTCTATTCTTATCCCATTACCTACACATACAAGGAATATAGTCGCGCTTAAACCGATTGCAGTAGATATCTCTTCTTCCCAAGGTTCTTAACATGTTAAACGCCGAATTGTCGTGGAATGTCAAATTTCTATGCGCTATATTTTACAAAAAAAGGTACTGAATGTTTTCCGAATTGTTCTGTCAATCTGCTCTAAGGAAACCAGTACTTTTCTCCAGATCAAACAAGAAGTTTGCATCAGTAATGGTATCTAACACCCTTTGAGCAATTAGTTTCATCCTGGCTGTACCGGATTTGAAATTTCGATCTGTAGTAATATCATGAAGAATTATTTCAATTTTTCAAAGCTGAGAAAGCAGCCCTGCAGGCTGCCCCCATCTTGTGGCGGCAGGTTGAATCAATGCCGGCACTATCTGACTTTTGTTCTTTTTACCGATTTTACCTTAGATTTGGTGGTGTTTTAGAATACAGATCCGACTTTTTTACCGTTCGAATCGAATGTGATCAAATACTCAAATGGGTAATCGTCAGAATTGTAACGGGGTTACACATACCCTGGTAGCAGGGGTGTGTGTCATAGATGGGCATGGTGTGACCACACCCAAACAAGAATACGGTACGGGGCTGGATAGTTATACATGTATTTAGATTTTACTATGTATATTTGGTAAAATCTATACATTTAAATTTGGCGGTTTGGCCGCAGATAATAATAAATTGAATCATTTTTGAATTTAAACCGAAGAGTTTATTAGCCTTGGTTGAGAAAGTAACTACTCTTGGACGTAGCGGATTGCGATCCGCTGCACTCGC